CGAAACGACATATTTTGTAGATAAAAAGACATAATTACAACTAGACAACACTTGGAATAAGTCAGACAGTAGTATGAGGACATCCCAGAGCCAGGAGCCTAGAAACTATACTAACTCACCCACGAAACAAATAAACAACGAACAAACTACAAAAGTCCCACAAGAGGAAACAACAACTCCTACCAGAGGAGAATGAACTACTAAACAACAACAGCAACAAGACACTAAAACAAACACAGACACACCAACACAGACACCACAACATTAGACATAGTATATTAGCACCTTTCTCTTAGCCAGCAACAGACCGCAACACATCACGGCCCGACACCTGGAGGTAGCCGCCCAAACGGATAGAACTCCGGCTCGAGCACCACACCAAAAACTCCAGTGTACCCACGGCTAGCTGCTACCACACCCGACGACCAAAATTATCTCCAGACGGAGCACCCCCAGACCGGAGACTAGAGGATGACCCAGTTATATATACGGGCCGGTTCACTAAACCAACGGTTCACGGTTCAGAACCGGCCAGTCGGTTGAAGGACGAACCGGTAAATTAAATAAAGTTAAAAATAATAAAAAGTAAAAAATATAATAAAAATTTTAATTTATGAAAAAATCATGAACTTGAACCGGCCCGGATAAATCTCAGGACTGGTTCAAGAACCGCAGTCAATGGGCTTGACCAGGCCGCGGTTCGACATGTGGCCATCTCTAAGATTCAAAATGGAGAAGATCTACACTCTAACGGGCTCAAATTCTTTATGTCTGACGGGCCCATATAATGGATCTTCCAAGGTTTCAGCCAATAAAAAGCTAACAAATATTATTCCAAACAAAATTTGGGCCTTTATCAGTGAAATGAAGTACATAATTTCCTCATTTTTCAAATCTCTTTTTCGGCCTGCTAGCTCTATCATTTCATTTTTGTTTTCAGATGGCTTTTATATAGTCTTGCAAATAACATAGGTCTCCCAAAGGACACAAAAGACCCTGCTTTTTGGGCATTAGAAAGGATTAATTGGCATTGGACTGTTTACTAGGAAACTAGAATGCTTGGATACCATAATCGAGGACAATGATTTTGTAATTCTTTCGTTTATAGCCGGATCTTTGATAAGACAAATTTTAAAATTTCGGTACACGTTCGATAAGTTTTCTAAATTCCAATATATTTTCCCTTGGGACTGGCAAAAGGGGAGCTATTCATGTATTGCTGTAAAGTTCCAATTCCCTTGGAATTTTAGCATGATGATTAAGTTAAAGCTTGCCATGAGCTTACTAAAAATTATCCTAGGTCAACCCATTAAAATTGAGGTAAAAAGAATATCAACTATCAAATTATCCATTAAATATACAAGACTAACTATTGTACATTACTGGACGATAAAAATATGTAATTCTTTGTACCGAAAAAAAAATATATGTAATTCTAATTTAAGAAAATCTATGCTAATGATCAGTAAAAGGTTTCATGAAAATAAAAACAAAAATTGGGATATAAAATGTATCCAATCGAATCCTAAAGTAAATGATATTAACAAGACTCAATGTTACACGGAGATAAAACATGAACAATCTCGGACGATATCAAGAGATTCAATGGTATGCCGAGTTAAAACATGAACCACCTCGGGAAAATAGCTTCAATAAGGTATTAAATTCTTTTAAAAAAAAATTTGTCGCCAAAAAATAAAAAAGACAAATGAAATTAATTGTCTTTTAAAAGAAAAGTGATACATATTTAAAATTATGAATGAAATATAAAATAAAAATTTATAAATTTAATTTGAGATAAAAATAATATAATAATAATTGAAACTGATGGTAATTAATATGAATATGCGAGTGGATAATTGGTGCTTTTTGTTAGAAAATATAAAATATCTTCTTTATTATTTTTTTTTATTTCAATTTACATTTTAATGAAATAAATCTGATTAGATATAATTTAATATTTTCATATCTAACCGTGCTGCTAGTGCGTTAGTCAAAACTCATAACTAGGTTGAAATTTTATAATTAAGATTATGACATATGCACAAATGTAATGAATAGGTACATAATGCACATGAAATATCCTTTAAAAGAATGGTAAAAAGTCATTTTAAAAAAGGACCAAAGGCGAAAACCAAGAGATGAAAAGGATATGATAAAGATAAGCCGATTTGATTTTGGAATAAAAAACATGTCAGGTCTTCAACTTTCTGACTGCATCAAACTTTGATGTCCCAACAACTCGTGAATAAAAAGGTCCAAAAGAGTGGAAACTCGCACGAAGCACCCAAAAAAAAAGAATTTGATCCTAATTAGGTACATTCAATGGAGCTAATAATGCAATTATTTTCAATAATAATAGTCAAAGCGAAAGAAAAGAAGCATGGAGATTGTATCCATCCTATCATCCAAGCGTGTGCATGTATTTGACAACTTCTATTGGTTGGATGATGGGAAATTTAGGTGGTCCTATTTTTTTTATTATTTTTTTTTAAATTTTATTATATGTTTTGCAAGAATTGATGTGTTAATATGATGTGAAATTAAATTGTCACGTCCAAATTGAGTGTTAGGATTTCAATTTTGTGGCAAAGCTTGAGCTTCACACCGCTACATCTATGATTTTATAGGAAAAATTGTTGGTAATATATATAACATCTAGACTGGTGTATTAATTAAGTGAATCAACAAGATTTACGATTTAATGTGTTACTTCCTCTGTTTTAAATCATTTGTCTTTCTAACTTAAAAAAACAAAATTACGCATTGGAAGGAAATAGTTATCTTACTATCATTCTACTCCTTATCAGTTTTATAGTTATCAGTTTAAATCTTGTAAATTTCTCTCTCCTTATCATTTTGATAGTAAATTATATCTGTAGTTCCATTATAGTTATCTGTTATGTTACGTACCAAAAAAAAAACTAAAATAAAACATAAACTAATCTACATATTTTTAGGATATTAGATAGTTATAAATCTAATTAGTTCATAGTTATTCAAAATGACAATTAATAAGCAAAAAGAAGTTTACACTCAAATGACAATTAAAATAAAACGGTGGGAGTATCATAAAATAATACTCGATGAACTGTGGGGATTAAATAATCGATCTCTATCTAGATTTGGATCAGGTTTGTTAGCAAAATTCCTTATTGTTAGTGGGAAAAAGTAAATAAAACTCATACATACTGGTTTTGGAAAATAAAGGTCAAACTTTAATCATACCTTTAGTATACACCGGGTCATATTAGTAATATTTTGATTTATTAGATTTACTTTTATTGAAGTGTTGACGATAAGAATAATTCCTTATGCTTTGCACGTGATATGAGAATGAGTTCTACATGAAATATACGTATAGACGTGAATTATTTGGTGCGGAGCAAGCTTTCTATAATTGTTTTTTGTACTACTACTCCTACTACTATTATTATTATTATTATTATTATTATTATTTTGGATTTTAGAGTTTTAATTGAATTTATTCATTTTCACTTAGTTATTCTCCATAATAATACTCCATCTGTCCCAAACTTCTTACTGTTTTAAGATTTCAATGCATCTCAAGATG